TGGGGATGTTGAGGGAACTTAATGCCCAGGTCCCCAGCCCGCTAGGGCAGGACCAGGCCATCTCAGGGCCTGGACAGCTGGCTACTGGCATCATGGGAGGGGGAAGGAGTGATGGAAGGAGTTTCCAGGCTACAGGAATTGCAGGCTTGGGTGGGTCGGCTCACCCCCCCCCCCATGCTGGCTACTGGAGTCCGTGGGGGTCCCATTGGGAGATTAAATGCCTTGAGTTAGGGCAGCACCTGTGGCTCAGTGGGTAGGGCTCCCACCCCATATACCCAGGGTGGCGGGTTCAAACCTGGCCTGGGCCAAACTGCAACAAAAAATAGCCCAGCGTTGTGGCGGGAGCCTGTAGTCCCAGCTATTGGGGAAGCTGAGGCAAGAGAATCTCCTAAGCCCAAGAGCTGCTGTGAGCTGTCACGCCACAGCTCTCTACCAAGGGTGATAAAGTGAGACACTGTCTCTAAACAAAAACAAAACGAGTTAGCCTGGGCTGGGGGGCAAGAGTGGGGATTAGGGACTTGGGCGGGAAAAGGAGTGGTGGTTTGAGAGCAATGAGGGGCATGGCTAAGGACACCAGGTTGGGGAAAGGAGTCTTCTAATCTGGGGTTATGGGGGCTGGATGGAGGGCTATGGGACTGGGCCGGGAGTCTGAAGCCCAGTGGGTGGAGTAGAGTCATGCTTGGGGTCCTTAGAGTGGAGCTGAGAGCAGGGGACTGTGGAGTTTCCGAGCTCGGAGAATCCCCAATCCGTGATGGCGGGTGTCGGAAGTCTGGCTGGAGGGGGACAGAGGGGACCAGGCCTGGCATCCAAAGGGGCGAGCCCTGGAGGAAGGGGGTCTTGAGTGCAGGGTGAGGGCCAGAAAATTGTGAGACGCTAGGCCAGGATGACTGAGTAACGGGGGCCAGGCGGTGAAGAATCGGGTCGCCAGGCTTCGCAGACCTCCAAGCCGGGCATGGTGCAGTAGGGGAACGCTAGGCGAGGAGGCGGGGCGGGGCAGGAGGAAGGGGCCTCGGGGGGCAGGGTCGGCAGCTCCAGGATTGTGGGGAGTTCCCAGCGGGGTCCTGTCAGAAAGGTGAGTGTTTGGGTGGGGGGGTTGTTGGGCTGGCCAGGAAAGCAGGGGCTCGTGGTGGGGGCGGAGCCGAAAACACAGAGGACCTGGTCGAGAGGAGGGATCGGGAAGGAGGGCTAGGGGATCGCCGGGCAGGGCCTGAGAAAGGGGTCTTGGGGGCCCCGCGGGCACCGTCCCGGGCGGGGGCGGGGGCGGGGCCTGGCCCGGGGGTGGGCCCAGGTGAGTAGCGCCTCCGCCCCCTGCGTTCCGCCCCCAGGGCCCGAGCCCTCCGCCCTCCGCCCTCCGCCCTCCGCTGCCCCTCCTCGGCTCTGGCACTGCGGACCGGGCGGACCGCGGCGAGTGGCGTCTGGGACCCAGGCCGGGTCCGGCTCTGGCTCCATCTTGGGCCGCGGAGCTGGGCACCTGTGGCGGCCTCAGGAGCAGCGCTTCCGCCGGCCTGCGCGGCTCCGGACTGACGAGAGGGTGAGCGGCCGGCTCCCGGTGTGCCGGGGGGAGGGGTGTGGTGGGCGGCGCCCCCTCCCTGCTCCCTGGAACCCACTCCTCACCTCTGCTGCACCCAAACCGTCGCCTCCCACCCCACCGGGTGCTCAGCGCCCTGGTGGCCACATCCCCCCTCCCCCTCGCCTCTCCTTGCCCCGGCCTGTCTCCTCTTCCGTGTCTCTTCTCCCTATCCGCCCATTTTTCATTACTCTGCTCTGGACCCGGTCTCCTTTGGCCTGCACCCTTGCCTCTGTCGCCCTTTCCTCGCGCATTCCTGCTCTCTTCCATTCCCATCCTCCACCCTACCCTCCTGCCACTGCCCACAGCCCGGCCCCAACCCTCTTCCTTCTTGGCCTTTCGCGACTCCTGCCCCACATTCTTACTCTCAGCCCACAGCTCCATCTTCCTTCAGTTGCTGCCCTTGCTGCTGGGAAGGGCTGTAACGCAGTTTCGGGCAGTATTGAGGTCCTACTTAAGGGTGCGGGTGGGCTTTGTGCAGGAGGGACGAGTAGGGGAGCCCTGTGCTGGGGGAGGCTGCATGGTGTGGTATGTTTGGGTTTGGCCCCGCAGCAGGGGCGGCCTGTGCTTGGCCTGCGGAGTAGAGCTGTGGAGACGCTGTGTCCTGCAGACTCCCGCTGCACACAGGCCTGTGAGTCCACGTCCAAGCCGGCCTGTCAGCTAGATGCCCCCAAGAAGCCTGGACAAACACTTTCGAGGGGAGGAAGCTCAGGGATTGTTGGGAGCCTGGGCTTCTTTCTGATAAGCAGAGCTGTGTTGGTGGGACCGTTGCCCTATGGTTACCCTAGAACCCTTTTTTGGTAAAGCCTGTGACCTGGGGCTGTTCCTAAAGGCACCTTCATCTCCTGTTTGATGGGCAGGTTTTGTCCTCTTCAGATCATCCTTTCAGGCGTGCTGTTCCTGCCTGTCCTCCTTTTGCTCTGGATAAAACCACCTGCTGGAGGTCTTCATGCGCCCATTATACGTGAGGACCTCCAGCCGGTGGTTTTATGGGGATTTAGTGCAGAATTTGTGGGGTGTGCATTTGTGGGGTCCCTGAGGGGTAAGGTCCATATTTGTACATGTGACCAGTTTTCCCTCCTGACCATGTGGGTTTGATTTTCTTGTTTTGGGTTTTGCTGGACACTGAAGTTATCAACCAAATGCTTGCTGCTTAACAAGTGGGGACTTACATGGATGCCACAATGTGGTCCGAGACAGGACTCATTTGTGGTGAGATTGGCATCCCCCCTCCACTCCGGGCACATCCCAGAGGCCTAGTCTGACCAAGCCTCTTTGGTTGGGCCAGTGTGAAAGTGTCTGTAGAAGGGGGGGGGGTTGCTGGAGATGAAGGTCAATTGCTGCATGTGAGGCTGGTTCATCTTTTTAGTTGCTGACAAGCAGAACCTGAGGCAGCAGGACAGCCTGGTGTTGGCCACAGGACATCGGCCACAGGACATCAGCCACAGCCATCACAACTTTGACATGAAAAGGGGCTGGAGAGAGAACATTAAGGTACCATTCAAACAACACTAGGGGTCTTAGATATGTCTATGTGCCTGCTTTTCATTTTGTATTAAAACATATTCCCAGGGTGGTGCCTGTGGCTCAAAGGAGTAGGGCACTGGCCCCACATATCATGGAGGTGGCAGGTTCAAACCCAGCCCCAGCCAAAACAAAACAAAAACTGCAACAACAACAAAAAACCCCCCATCTTCCCAGGGTGTCCTTTTCCATGATTATAAAGGTCGGGTGACTTGCCATTCTGAGCATTTAAAATGCCAGTTGTAGGAGAATACTCTTTTTGGGTTCTGAATTGGCCACTTTCAGCTATGGTTCTCTGACATTTCTGATCGGCTCCAGGCCTCAGTTTTGTCACCTGACACTTGGGAAGGGAACCAGCAGATACAGAGCCCACCTACTAGGGTCTCTATGCACAAGGCGTAGCCTTCGACACCCCTCTGGTGAGGCAGGCATAGTGGGACCCTCATCGCTGACGGCTTCTCATCAGGTCTTGGTAGGGTCTGAGGCCCTACCGTACTGGTCTTCTCAGGTGCCAGGGGCCACTTCCTGGATCTTTATGGCCCTGTTCCCTAGGAGGGCCCAAGGTGGTAGGGCTCAGCCAGAGGCTGTGAAGGGCTGTCCATGTGGGGCTTCCTAGGCATTCTTGGACCTTCAGCTGGATGGTTGTCCACCTGCCAGGGGCTGGCGGCAACCATAGCCTTCCCAGCCAGCAAGTGCAAAATACCCAGAGGCTGCTAAGGAGTAGGTGGGGGTTCCACTCAGTCACTTGTTGCACAGGTAAGTCATGAGCACCATTGCCAGTGCCTGGCTCTGGGTGGGGTACTGGGGCTTCAGTCAAGCCAAAGCACCAGTTAAGTAAAAAGATACATTTTTTTAGAGGCAAGAACCATCAGGATAGAGGTCTGTACAGATCTCAGAGGAGAAGAGAACTCACACACTCATTAGCCGTATGTCCTTTGCAGGTCACTGAACCCCTCTGAGCTTTGGTCTCTTTATCTACTGAATGGGGATAATGACATATCTCATGAGTTTGCTTTGACAATTAAATGAAAAAACATGTGCAAAGGATGTGGCACATGGTGAGTGATCAGGCACTGAGAACTCTTAGTATTATTACCGTCACTATAATTGTTACTGGCTTCATTGCCCTCCTCTGTTTATATATCCGTTTTAGAGCTCCTTAAGGGCAGGGCCTGGTCCAGAGGCCTTTCTTGGCTACTCCTCCTTTTCCTGACCCTCTCAGGGACTGGGCTGGCTTTGGCTACAACAGGCACCCTGGCTAGGACAGACCTTATGAGGTTGGGGCTGTGACTAGACTGCATCGTACAGCGTGGTAGCCATTAGCCACAGGTGGCCAGTTAGATTTAAATTATAAACTTTAAATTTAGATAAGATTAAACTTACCATTTATAAGTTGCAGTGGCCACCTGTCAAGTGGCTAGTGTCTACCTATTGGGCAGCACAGGGTAGATCTTTTCCACTATCACAGGAAGTTGAATGGAACTGAACTCTCAGGGATTATGGCTCCAGCATCATTCTAGCTATGACTCCAACAGCTACCAACTGTCTCCTGAGTGCCTGGATAACACAAAGTTTGTAGTTACTCAGAAACTGAGTTCTGAAGCCCTTCCCACCTGCCTTCTCAGGGAGACTTGCTGGCCTGGCTGGGGTGATTAGTTTCCTGACAGTCCTTATCAGCCCAGGGGTGGAAAGGCAGGGCTGGGATTGCCCAAATGCAACTGCTGTCCCCACCCTGTTTCTCCAGCTGGTCCTGCCTGGCAGAGAGTCCTGATCTTTCTAGTTCACAGCTTTGTCCAGAGTTGGGGGCCCAGACACCCTAACCCTACCTCATCTGCTCTGGACACATGGCCTCTCTCTTGCATACCCTGTTCCCTCCATCCAGCTGCCTTCTCCCTCCTCTCTCTCTAGGTCTGACTGACATGACGGATCCTCCAAGAAGCCTAGGCCCACCAGCCAAAGTGAGCTCTCCCGCCTTGGAGGGGCCTTCCCTCAGACCCCCCTTCTGACATTCAGTGGCCTCCTCTGTGGCTTTGTTCTTGCATTTGCTCATTTTCTCAGTCAGGCACACAGCAGCATCCTCTGTGTGCCTCACTAGTGGCCCACCATCCCCAGGGCCACAGCCAGTCTAAGTGAGTCCCATGTTCCCCAAACCCAGAGCTGGGCATATGTAGGGCCTCAGGAGGTGGCTGTGTAATAAACCAAAAAATCCTGAGTGAGTCCCACAGCTAGAGTTGTTGGGTAGAGCCTTTCTTTGCCCTTGGATCTGGAGGTGGGAGTCAGGGGACCCTTTTCTTCTTTACACTGCCAAGACTCAGCCCCAGAGACATGACAGCTCAGCCAGGCTGGGCCAGAGAGGGTGAGGAGCCAGGCACAAGAGAGCCCTGGGCAATTCTCAGTGTCTCTGTTCCTTGCTTCCTCAACTTGCAGACCTTCTATGAGCAGGGGCTCTACCAAGGAAGTTTCAGTCCTCAGTGAGATGGATACTGCTGGTCCCTGGAGGAAGCAGGCTAGGATCTGCCCGGCATGCTGTCCTGGTTGTTAACATATTGTAATATTTCTGTGCTGACTGACAAAGATCTATTACGTCATTACCAACTCTTCCTCTACCCCCCTTACCACCTGGGGTCTGTGGTCCCTTCTCTGAGGCTCAGCAGATTTGGTCTTTTCTCTGGGCCCCTCCCCTCAGCCAGCCAGTACAGAGTCATCAGCTGACATCGTGGGTGGTCTCCAGGATCCTACTCTAGGGCAGGTTCTACCTGCTTGGTATTGCCTATGAGATATTTGCAGTGTCATCCTTGTGTATAATGTGATGACCTTGATTTGAAGTCTCTTGTCTTGTCATTGTCTTGCTTATGGTTCTGACCTGTTAGGCAGGCTAGGATTTAAGCTGTCCCCACCGTGGGCCTAGCATGGTATCACTCATAGCAGTATTTGGCTGAGGTGCTGCCACCCAACTCAGCGCCCCACTTTTTCTCTCCTGCAGGCAGCCATGAGCTCCAGCCGCCCTGAGCCGAGTGCCCGGGTACCCCTAAGCCCCCAACTGCAACCCCTGTCCCGGAGCTCATCCAGCCTGCTGGGTGATGGCCGAGGACAGAGGCCAGAGCTCCGGAAGAGTGCCAGCAGCACTGTGTGGCAGGCCCAGACAGATGAAGACAGCACTGGTTCCCAGGCCCCAGAGGAAGAGGCATGCCCAGCCAAGATCATGGAGCCAACACAGGCCTCCAGCCCCCAGCCACAGCCTGGTGCCGGGGGCCACTGGCGGAGTAACACTGTAGGCAACGTGTCCACTATGGGCAGTGGTGACCTATGTCGTCTGCGGGCCCCTGGTGCTGCTGCTGTGCAGAGGAGCCACTCAGACCTGGTCCATAGCATCCAGATGCGGGGTCACAGCAGTGCTCGGAAGGCCAGCCTCAGCTGTGTGGTGCTTGGCAGCTCCCCAGTCCACAGGGCTCACTTGCAGCCTGGCAGTACTTCTGACCAGGGTGGCCAGTTCCCTGCAACCCTGGAAAGGGACCTGGCTCCAGAGGATGGAGCTTCTAACTCAGCGTGGATGCGGGGGGAGAGTCAGGTTGGAGTGCTGCCGCTAGACCCCGAGGGCACAACTACTGACAGCAGCAGTCCTGTGCCTGGGCCCAAAGACACCGGGCAGCCGGCCACCACCTCCTGCCATGCTTTGCCCCCAGCAGCTCTACTCTGCGATATGAGTAAGGAGGGAGCTGGCAGCTGCTATCATGCCCTGCCTGCCACAGGGATCCTGGCTTTTCCCAAACTAGTCGCATCAGTGAGCGAGTCTGGGCTACAGGCTCAGCATGGGGTGAAGTTTCACTGTAGGTTGCCTGGGGGACTCCCTGGGCACTCTTGCTGTGCCCACCCTTGGGGTCCCACAGAGCCTAGCTCTAGGACCAAAGATGTGTGGACCATGACCTCAGCCAGTGACTTGGCCCCTGTGGTGGCATCCCCTCCATCAGCCCAGGACGCTGGTGTGCAGGCAGCCCCAGAGGCAGCCTGCAGAGATGTGGCCACCAGCCCATCCATGGAAGCGCCTATTGGCCTGCACATGTTCCCAGAGGTGATGCTGGGGTCCAGCTTGGAGGAGTCGCCATCCCCTGTGCGGGATGTCCGATGGGATGCTGAAGGCATGACATGGGAGGTGTATGGAGCCTCGGTGGACCCCGAGGTGCTTGGTGTGGCCATCCAGAAGCACCTGGAGATGCAGTTTGAACAGCTGCAGCGGGCACCTGCCAGTGAGGACAGCCTGTCTGTGGAGGGCCGCAGGGGGCCACTGCGGGCTGTCATGCAGTCCCTGCGGCGTCCCAGCTGCTGTGGCTGCTCCACTGCAGCCCCCGAGTGAGGAGCTGTAGCTCTTGGAGCTGACCTGGACCCATGGACTTAGCCTGAGACCAGGGCCAGGGACAGTGGGGGCCCCATGCTCCCTGGACCTACTGGCAGCTGGCCATAGCTCTCATCTACACAACAGCTGCATATAGGCCACAGGACTGCAGCCTGGGGCTCTCTGCCCCATGTAGCTGGGCTGGTTTTTAAGGGCTTGTTTCCCAAGGGCCACATTTCTTTCTGCACATTCCAGGCTTTGAACATTGAGACAGGATTTCAGCACTATGTGTAAGGGAGATCCTGAGTTTTCTGTAAAAAAACTTGACCTTCTAGTCATCCTGCCCTCAGAACTTTGCCATATTTCCCCCTCAGACTCTCTGCAGCTTTATTTTAAAGCAATACTGAGAAATGATGAATTCTTGACACAAAGTCTGGGGCCCCAGTGACAGGGGCTGTCTGTGTCTTCAGGGAAAGAGACTGGCATTGCCAAAGGCCTCCTGTATGCCACCTACTGTGCATAACACCTTACTTTATTGAGTCTTCACCTCTTCCTCTTGTTTAACAGATGAAATAATGGACATTTGACAAGGCTATAGCTGATGTGCCCCATGTTGGACAGCTTGAAGTGCTGGGGCTAAGATTCAATGCTAGAGCTGGCTGAATCTGCAGTGTTTCCTGCAGCCCATACCCGGTCTGGTTTGGTGAAGCTGTGTACAAGAAGAATTTGTTGAGTCCATATTCCATACCAGGTTCTGTGGATTCCGTGGTGAATGAGACGGGCTGCCCTGCCCCAGCCGAGCTCATGGTGTGCAGTGGGACGGGGGGTGCTGAGTATTACAGAGGGCTGCCAGGTTTCCAGGGCCACTTTTAAGAGCCAGCTAAGTCATTGTGTCAGTGGGTGGCCTCAGGAAGAGGAGATAGGTGGGTAGCCACTGCCCCTGAAATATGTTGCAGTGCCTGAAGTGTCACCATTGTCACTTCATTCCTTTGGCTTAGGGATTTTTTTCCCAGCTGGCACAGTTGTTGGAAGGTGGGTAAGCAGGAAGGGATAGGGATAGGGAAGGGTCCTGGCTGTGGGCCATGAGCTGGAGACTCCAACCTGGTGGGAAATGGCCTGAGATGGGAAGCTGTGAGGGTTCATTGAGTCCTGCCAGTGTGACCTGACATGGGCTAGGCAGTGGGGTCCAGGGGATTTGGTGGGAGGGGGACATAAGAGTTTGGCATGGCCTGTCTTCATTGCCCAAGAATTCTTAAGAGCTGCAGAAGATGAGAATGAGCTTGTGTCCTTGTCCTGTGACTTGGCATTGAATCCCCCAGTTCACACTTGGGAGGGAGCCAAAGGGTTAGAGTGGTGTCAGGGCCCATGACCTGTCCTGTTCCTGGGGCCTCTTCTGTACCTAGGAACCCAGGACCTGAAGGCTGGCTTACCCTTCCCTATCCTTGAGGAGCTGGTGCTCACTCACTGAAGTGGAAATGACTCATGCAGAAATGGGATAATTTTAAAGGCAGGAGTGACATTCTAACAGGCCCAGGGAACAAAGGGAGAAAGAAGTCCATCGGGTCAAATGCCTTCCAAAACCCCAAGATGGGCCATTTTTGCCCAGATACGTGCCTTTTCCATGTGTGCAAGTGCTCCCCTCCTTGGGGATATAGGCCTGTTGGTCCCTCTGTGTATGGTGCAGGGCAAACGCCTCACTTTCTGGGGAGTGACATTTGGGTACATGCAGCTTTTGTGCCTGGCCTTGCTACGGGGCCCCAGGGGCCCTAGGAGCCCCAGCCTGTTAGGGCCACATGGGAGGGAACAAATGAATGTGGGGGTATAGGGGAGAGGCCCTTCACAAAGGGCCACAGTAAGGAGAGTCTTGTGGACACAGGGGGTTGGACAGGTGGGTGGAGGGGGAGAAGGACCTGTAGGCAAATGGAACAAGGCTGATCAGAGGTTGGAAGTGCCTGTTCAGCCCAGGCCATGGTGAGTCATTTCAATGAAGGCCCTGTGTGGGTGATCGTTGGGTTGGGAGGAGTACCCATTGTGAAGCTGCCAGTATGACTGAGGGATGGGACTTTGGAGGATTTGTGGAAGGGGTGGTGGGACCAGATAGAAACATCTGGCTGAGAGTGGTGGCTCAAGCCTGTAATCCTAGCACTCTGGGAAGCCAAGGTGGAGGATTGTTTTGACCAGGAGTTTGAGACAAGCCTGAACAACATGGCAAGACAAAAAAACAAAGATGAGCTGGGTGTGGTGTGCATTGGGACTATAGTCCCAGTTTCTCAGAAGGCTGAGGCAGGAGGATTGTTTGAATCTAGGAATTTGAGATTGCAATGATGATACCATGGCACTCTAGCTGGGGCAACAGAGCAAGACCGTATCTGGGGAAAAAAAAAAAAGGAAAAAGAAAGAAAAATATCCTTTTGGCTGCTAGTGGGGAAGAAATTGGCCTGGAGGAGGTAGGAGGCAGAGCCCAAGAGGATATGGTGGGGGATGCCAGGGAGGGGCTGTGACAAAGTGGGCACCTGGGCATATCTTTCTCACACACACACACACACACACACGTGCAGTGGATTTGAGAAGAAGCAGTTCCAGGAGACTGAGGTTTCTAGTTTGTGTAAGAGGAGGTTAGGCCAGGGAAGGGACAAGGGAAGGCAGATGGCAGGTTCAGGAGAGGCAGGGGACAGGCCACATGCCACGAGGTTTGGCTGGGAGCAGTGAAACCCACTTCACAAGGAGACTTTCTCCTCTGTCATATGCAGATTCGCATGTGTCTGCTCTGCTTGGCTGCGTGCCAATCCATGCCACCTCCACACACCCAGAAGGCTGTGATGGCAGGCAGGGCTGGGCCCGGTATGGAGCAGGCCAGCCAAGCTGCCCACTCACTGCGCCATGACCAAGATGAATGTTTGCAGGGCAGTGCTGGACTCCAGTCTGGCCTGGGTCCCCAGACTAACCTCCTGGGTAAACCATGTTCCCGTCCTCACTAGCTCAGGCTGACAGCTGCTAGCCGTGCTCTGCCTGGATCAACTGCAGCTTAGTTTCTGAACTGGACCTGGAGACTTATTCCCTGACCTCGGGCCATAGCCCCAACTGGGTTAGGCCAGATGCCTGCAGTGGTTAAGGGCCCTGGAGCATGGCCACTGGCTCGGTTTATGATCTTCCCTGGTCTCCAGTCTGGGTCCCTTTCAGGTCCACTTTAGGAGGTGTTGGATTTGATTGTTGATACATTTGTTTTGTTTTGTTTTTAAAATAAATACAAGTTTCACAGTGAGAGCTTTGCTGGGCCCTATCAGAGAAGGATTGGTCCTGGCTGGTCTGTTTATTTTGTCCTGGTAAATTCTGTCCTTTGGAGCATAAACCCTAGCATCCTAGAACTCACTGCCTCAGCAAAATTCCCCCTTCTGTCTTCACAGGGTTTCCTCACTTTTGCCCACCTGTGCTCCATCCACGGTAGGCTGGTCTCCGACAGCTGAAGCTTTCTGGAGCTCGTCACTTCTGGGCGTGCCCGTCCTGGACACATCTTTGTCTTGCCCCCAGGTTGCTATCACCCTCACAAGGAACTACTAATCCAGACTGGGGGGAAGCTATCCCTGCTAGAGCTGAGACTGCTGCCGAAACCACAGTGCTAGGGATGGAGGACGAGCAGGAGTGGGCCTGATGGTACCTCCCCTACATATGCTAGAGCCATTTGACTGAGGCTGAAGGGGGCCTCCCCATACAGGTCCTACACTAGGGCCATGGGGTGGGCGCCCACAGCTTAGTAGTTAAAAGCTGGAGTTTGAACCCTTAACCACACCTATAGGCATGAGATCCTGGGCAAGCTGCTAGCCTTGCTGACCCTAATCTTCCTCATCTGTCAAATGGGCACAACAGCATGCCTCCTTCACAGGTGTACTGTGAGGATGAAATGGGGTAACCCATGTAAGGAGCCTTGCACCAAGTTAGCATTCGGCACACAGTTGGTGATCTTGGGCCCACAGCTGCACTCAGGGGATAGCTCTTGCCCTGTCAGCTTGGCTATGGTCAGGGTCCATATCCTATTTTTTAAAAAAATCCCACATCTAGCTTCTTTCTAGGCCCCTCACCCTGAGTCTGGGACATGTGACTCTGGCTGTGGGCCTCTAAAGATATGGTTCCCAAGCTACATCAAGGAGGACTACCCCATCCCTCATCATTAATTAATCTTGGGTTGTGCTTTCAAGAAACTTATGCTGAGAAGAGGGTCCTGGAGTTATTAAGGAGGGGAGAGCTAGCAAGCAAAGTGGTGATTTTAGGCCAAGACAGATTCCACAGGGGAGCCCCAGCGTGCAACTTCGCCTCAGAGTAAGGGCCACCCAGGGGTGGGGTGTGAACTCCAGTCACTGCTGGCTTCCTGGCATGCAAGCTAGGAAACTCCAGGAGGCCCAGGGTAGGTCTCTACAAGGAGTTGTAGGGCTTAACCCAGGCGATGACATGCACAAAAACAGTCAAAGGCAGCACAGGGATCGGGGATGCACTCACGTTTTGTGCTGCTTATCACCCTGTTAGACACATGCTGTAGAAAAGGCCCAGATCTTTTCTCCATGTGTTGCTCTGAAACAATTGTTTCATTCACGTTCATGCCAGGCAATCTTAGTTAAATGCAGAGCTTGGCATTTGTCCCTGTCATATTCCTTCTGGTTTGTCATTTTGGCCTGCCCCAGTTTTGTCATTTGAAGCTATGACTAGTCTTATCAGTTTTCATCTTACTTGTCAGGCAGGGCTGGGCCAGTACACAGCCTGCAGCATGTCACTGGGTGACAGGGATCCCCAGGTTCCTCCAAATCTACATGTCATCATGAGCAAATTTGTTTCATTAAAATCCATTAACAGTAGTAGCATCCTTCTCACCTAAATCACAGTCCTGGAAGGAGAATAGCAAGGCCTGACTGGAGTCCTTGCTCTCAGCTATACTGGTTCTGGTGACTGCTACTTCCCTTTCTAAGAGCTTAACCTACTTCTGTCTAACAAGCTGGTCTACAAGTCGGAGAGCAACAGCAAGCTGAGATTTG